GTTTTGATGTCAGTGGCTTCTATCCCCTCCTTTGGCCAGCTTATTATCCCAGCAGGGTACCTGATCATGGGCAGGGAGTAGGTGTTGATAGCCCAGATGTTATTCTTACCGTTCAGCTGACTTGCCTGACCCTCTGCAGGTACTTGCTGGTTGCAGCCTTTCTAGCAGCCTCTTAATGGTTCCCATTTGACTGCGGGATCCCCAGGTACTTGTAACTGTCCTCTATGTCTGCAATGTTGCCTTCTGGTAGTTCGATCTCCTCAGTTCTGACTAGCTTCCCTCTCTTTGTTATCATCCGACTACACTTCTCCAGTCCGAACGACATTCCAATGTCATTGCTGTATATACTGGTGGTGTGGAACAAGTCAATGTCGCATTCAATCTTGGCATACAGCTTGATGTCATCTATGTACAGGAGGTGGCTGACAACTGCTCCATTCTGTAGTCAGTATCAGTAGCCAGTCTTGTCAATGATCTTACTGAGGGGTTCAGGCCTATGCAGAACAGCATTGGGGACAGAGCATCTCCTTGGTAGATCTTGCACTTGATGGTGACTTGAGCTATTGGCATGAATTTGGCCTCTAGTGTTGTATGCCACATTCCCATTGAGTTCCTGATGAAGGCTCTTAGGGTCCTGTTGATCTTGTATAGATCTAGGTATTCTAGGATCCAGGTGTGGGGCATTGAGTCATAGGCCTTATTGTAATCAATCCAGGCAGTGCACTATATATATATGTATTGTATTTGCATATACACCTACGCAGACTTACTCATACATAGCATACATAAAATTGCATGTTTTGCTGTCTATAAAAATCTTTGTTTAAAGCAATACAACCAGTGATTTTTTTATTATTATTCACTGTAGTGTAATTTTACATGGAAGGTCTGATCGAGCTGACACAAAGAGTCAGAGGCTATTTGATACTGAAGTAATAGGAAATATCCCATTAGATTTAGCTTATTTTGCATCATTAGCGCAGGCAGATATGAACATCTTGCATAGCAGTATTTAGTGCACAGACAGCAGGACATCATTTTTAGTGTAAGAGGAGACAGCGGGATACCTTAATAAACCATTAACAACTCAGATGATGTGAAAAGGATTTCATTATTCTGTCCTTGATGCATAAAAATATCACATTCATTCATATTATCTATCTATACATTAAAGATATGAAAATAGGAGGCTCATTTCAACAAAGTTAACCTTAAATTTTTGTATCTCTATTCTCTCAGATAGGAGATGTCTCGTTTTAGAAACAAGCTCTTCACATACATTCATCAAGCAATCACTATGTGCACTCATTCCGCCTGACACACAGTGCACAGTACATGGCAAAAAGAAAAAGGAAAAGAAGAAAAATATTGTCCTTGAGTCCTGCTCAATCAACTTAAATTCTTGTTTTCATAAACATCTTAAGAGAAAACATGTCTGAATAAAGATAACTAGTTTTACTCCTAAAAAAATATCAACCTACCACATCAATATGCATTTTAATTGTTTTTTAAAGAGCAGTCTGACAAAACATTTTCACTTCTATTTATTTCTGTAGCCAATTATTCCAGCCAGATAGTTTGGTGGTGAGAGGTGAGTGAAATACCACCTGTTTCTGTTCTAATGTGGATCTGTTTCCTTGGAGGTTCAAATCTTTGGAAGACAGCCAATCCCCTGTCACTCTGACTAAGCTGTCGGTTTTTAGATTGGAGTGGGGATGTGCTCACCAGCTGTGAGATTAAGGGGAACTGATCGATGGCCTTTCTGATTGGCTCTTGGGGTGTCCCAGCAGCATCCAATCCCCTTGGTTCGGATGGTTGTCCACGGCCGAGCCAAAAGCAATTCTTCCTCCGCACAGGGGCCAAATAAGATCACTGACCTGAAGCTTCGAGGCCACGCTTGGAGGTTCTGTCTCCATTTGTCTGCGCTCCTCATTTCTCTGGAAAAAAGGAGAAAAAAATGAGACAGTCAGAAGAGGAGAGGGGAGAGAGATGAAAAGATTGAATAAAATTAGAATTTGTATGAAAGGCATGTTGCACCTTCGCACATTTACACTTTATTTTTGCTCAATCTGCATTTTTCTGACACCTTTGTTGTTATTAAGCTCTAATGTCCACTGTGTTCTGCACTGCTCTCTCCAGAAATTACCTGTCAGTCAAACTCAGGTGGGAGGCACTGTGATGTGTTTTTCCTCGGATTTGCTTCGAGTCTCTGTAGGTGGGGCTGTTTTCGTTTTCTCTTCTGTTCCGCCACATCGAGAGCTGTTTCTGCCTACCACTGCTTTTTTTTATTCAAAACAAACAGCTTTAGCTGCTGCTCAAAATGTAAAATTCATGACTTCCTGTGCGTCAAATGATTTCTTTTTCTTTCTTTTTTTTAGGAAGGGGGTGGGGGGTGGGGGGGCAGTCTTTCTTGGGCGTAAAAGAATGCCTGCAGGTATCTAAGAGTATAAACGTGTCCGGGAAATATCCTCACAATGGAGCGAAATGATATTTGATGAGGAAAAATGTTCACTGATCCCAAACAGCTGTATCAAAAAGACTCGTGCAGAGACATGGCTTTCATTTGCCTCCTGTGTTGCAATGATGGACACTGTCAGGAGGCTGCACAGCTTTCTGTTTGCTCTTCACCAAATATCCTCTGCTTGGATGTGGTGAGGCAAAAGGTTACAGAACAATCAGAGGAAACTATTTGTTCAGAAACTTCAAACTTCAACTCTAACAGATGTAATCTTCATCTATCTGTGCTTTAGCCCTGATTTTACTTGGCTGAGCTGATGATGGGTATTTAAAATATAGCTCTAATAAGTAGTGTGAGATTTCTTGGCCTGGCACGCACAGTAAATAAATACCTTTTTCTTTTTATTATTTCTTTTTATTTCGATTATTTCTTGAAGTAAGTAAGATTCATTTATGGGAAAATTCCAGATGGGTGGCTTCAAAGCCACGTGTTACACAGGGGCATTATTACCCAAATTCTCCAGCATTATTCACCTCTCCATCGCTGACGCAGATCTACAGGTCAGTGTATTTATCACTCTCTTTGTCATCATTTTCCATCCTTTTGTGAACATTTTGCATCACTCTTTTGTCCCATTGCATCCCCTGGTATAGGGTTTTTTTTTCTATATCTTTATTTATTTATTTTTTCAACTTGTCTTGTGTCTCCAGATCCCTTGTTTTGCATCACTCAGCAGATGTTTTGCTTCTCTTTGTGGTCTTTGCATATAATGCTGACTCACATCTCAGCATTTCATTTGAAAGTTGCGACCATCACAAAGGCCTGTTCTTTGTCTCCTCTGGAAGAAATCATTTTTCTATTCTGAGATAACTGGATACTGACCTGCTCTCTGAAATCTGGAGAAATAAGGATTAAAAGACAAAGTAATGGTCAAACTAATTATTCTGTCTAGTTTCAGGATAACAATGTGGTGTAATCTCAAGAAAGGCTCATTTTAGACAAAGTTCTGTACAGCAATGTTCAGCTTGTTTTAGTTCTTTTTATGAAGGGCCAAAATGACAAGAAGGAATGTCAGAAGAACAAAAACGATCCAAACCTCTGAGGTGCATTTAGAAGAAAACAGCTGAAAAAAGCAGAGTTTGAAATGTTCCTTTCCTCTGGGTTTGTAATCATTCGACTGACTTCATAACAAGAAATGTTAACAGAGTCCTCTTTGAGAGGCTCTGACAAGGAAATCAAAGGCAAATTCCTTACATAACATCAATTGGCAAATGAAGCAGTTTCTAATTTATATTTTTCAAGTATTACAGATACCACTGTATCTCATCTCTACCTCCTATTTAGTGGTACACACTTGTACCTGGGTACCATTCATGTATTATCTGGATAATTGCATCACAAATCAAAGTAGCAAAAACATCTGAAGTTAGATTGTATTTGTTTTCGTACATCTTTGAATAGCTCAGGGTCATAGCATACACATTCTTACTTACTCATATGTGGACACGAGCAATCAAAATGAGTCAGTCAGAAAGAAAAACACCTATAAGTGAATGCAGATTTTCCCTCACATGTTGAAAAAAAATTGAGTCTATTAATATTGGTTTTCCTTAAATTTGCCACTTACCTTCATCTGAGTCCTGCTTTCTGCTTTGGTCTCTTCCTAAATTTTAGCAGTAAAACATCAGAGTGGGACACTAAGGGGAATACAGCTATTATTTATGGCATCTACATTACTATGTGTATTTCCCCCCTTAACAATTTTTTTAAAAAGGAAATTTCTGCTGTAAAAAGTAAATAAATAAATAAACTATCGATCTGGTTTGTGTGCAAATTTGTTGCCTCTCCTGGGCAAGAAATTATTATTATTATTTTTTTATTTTTATTTATTTATTTTTTTTGCCTGTCCCGTTTGGCTCTTTTGCCATCAGAATTATTGTCTAAAGGCGAAGAAAGATGCCCAATGGATTCACTTTACCAAATGGACCATCCCAGCCTTGCCGTAATGGTCTATTTGATTCACCTTTTATTGTTTATTTTATTTTATTTTCACTTGCTTAATACGGGACAGACTTGACTGGGGAAAAGAAAGAGGGAGAAAGAAAGAGGGAAAGAAAAACAGCGGGGAAGAGGGACGGGGGAGAAGGGCAAAAAATAAAAACCAACAAAATAAACAGACAAAAAATACATATATCAATCACCTGAATCACCTGTTGAGAAAGAAAAAAAGAGAAAACAAGCAGAAGAAAAAAAAAGAGCAACAGAATAAACAACATCACGATGATCTATGGGAATATAACAGTAAATACTAAATATTAAACATTATTGTGCAGCACGTAAGATCGACAGCGCACAGGGTGCTTTGAGGTAGGAGCCAAAAAGGGTGTAGTTTGTGTGTGTGAGCACCCGTGTGTACACCTGTGAGCATGAGCGCGCTTGTATTTAAAGGTTCCTTCATGTAATGATCTGCAGGAAATTATTAAACTCAAGGCCAGATCGTCATCGTGATCTGTGCTGCCATCTAGTGGAAACGTGAGGGAGCTTTGCTTTGTTTAAGAGGCTAAAATTCAGCATAACAATGGAGCTTCTCCCCTCACTGCTCTGCCTCTTGTCTTTCTATTTTTAGCACAGGAAATTCTTTTTTTACTAAAGGCTTTAGAGTAATGCCCTCTCTCATGGACATCTAATTAAAATTAAGCTCAAAGCGAAACAGCAGTCCCCGTGAAGAGCTAAAACAGCCATCAATGTTTAACTTTAATTTCCTCTGGAATAACCAGTGTTTTTACAGCATTTACAAAAAAAGAGCATTCATCAACAAAAAACTGCATAGATGAAGATATTTTTCATGATACACAGTGCATTCCTTCTGTAGAAAATCATGGTGACATAACTGAGAAGAAGTTTTTCTTTAGAAGAAAAACAGCATTTTGTTGAATAAATTTCATGCCCTCACTTGGTATGTGTTATTTCTACAGTATGGTGTTAAGTTTTTAGGGCATTTTCTTCTTCTTTTTTTTTTAACTCAAATAAATACAAGATTAAGATACTGAATCTATACAAAATACATACAGTATACAACCGAAGCTGAGTACAATGTGCAACAATAAATTAAAATTGATATCACCTTGTAATAGATGCATTATTTTCTAGTCCAATTAAATACTATTTTATCTTATCTGTCATTAAAAGCAAACAGGATACAACAACATACGACATACAGGTTCCACCTTTACAATAAAGTAAGACTAAAGGGTGCATAGGAAGAGTCCGAGTGTCAGTTAAAGAACACACAATGGCCAGACAGCCACACAGCCATGCACTGATATAGGTATATGCCTCTCACTTGGCACAGACACTGATGGGTGTAGCTGCTGGTTTGTGAAGTTGGTGTTGTTTCGTCTTTTTAAACCACACATCGCCAATGAAGCAAACCGAGAAGCCAAGGCACACTACACACTGATTGTATTTGACATGTCACTACCCTAAGTATTATAATCTTCTTCATCATCTCCAAAAAAGACCTGAGAATCTGAGAAAGCACACATCTATCCCCGCTATCACAGGGCAAGAGGCAGGGTGCACACTGGACAGATCTCAAGACTCCAAAGCTAACACAGAGGAATCGCCAGTTAACCCAGTTCATGTCTTTGGACTTTTCCATTCAACTAAATAAATTGCGTTAAATGTAACGTTCAGCATTTTAGTGATAATGACCACAGCTAAACTAAGTGTTCATACAGCAGGAGCTGTTAAATAAACTATATTATGTATTAGACAATCAGAGGATTTGAACAGTATGCGTATTACAAATCACAGTTCAGTGATCCAGTAAATAAAACATTATGGTTTCCAAAGAGTGGCATTACTATGAGAATATACATTTAACGTGCATTTAAAATAACCATGTAATATCAATTATACTGTCTCTAAAATATTATACCAGTATAAAAGGATGCTGAGCAAAAGACTACACAACGCTGAACTATAGGGGCAATACTGTGGTAAAGTAAAGCTAACTGAACCAATCACAAAATGAAGACATGCAATATGGTGTTGAAAGTTTCATTCAGTGTCATCACTGTTGGCCCACACTGTACTGATGCAGGAGTCGGTGATGCAGTGCGAGCGTTCGACAAATAAAAGACAGCTGATCAGCCTGCCATGTTGTGTTGTTGGAATAAGATAAAAAGATAAAGTGTTAAGGTAACCTTTTTTCATACGTTTAAACTACACCAATAAATCAGACAGAAAGTTTGCCTAGAAAGTAGCCGTAGTTATGTAACAGATTGTTATCGTTGCATTAAAAACCTGATAAAGTATTAACAAATGTTAAAACAACTAAAATAAAACAAACTAAACATTTTTTGCAAGAGCTGCTGATTGCTGTGGAATGTTCACGTTCCACGTCTGTTTTCAGTCTCTCAGCCAGATCCGATCTGTTTTTGGAAAGTGTGACCAAGTACAGTCAGTGATTGGAAACCCATGGTCTAATAATTAACAATAAACATGTTTTTTGACCTCTGCATATTTATACAGGGAGCAAGTGTTCCTACACATAGGTCCTCATGTTGATGCTTGTACAGCAGCCCACGATGGACAAGTGGAACTGTTTCTATAGAAAGGCTATTTTGGAGGCCAAATTAGGTTTAGTTACAGGCTTAGAAAGTGACAGGTATTCAGTTAGTTGCAATCTTTATCCTCTAGATGCCGGTAATACACACAGGTCCTTTAAATATAAAAAGTAGGCATTTCACCAAAGGTTCAGTTAATACACATTAAGAGAAAAAGTACAAAAAGTGTATGTAGTAAATATCTTTTTATGCTTCCCTCTCCTCTATAGTGTTGCTTTACTTAACATACCTGCTTTTTTTTTGACTGCCTCACTGTATTTGGCCCTTTCATCAGAGAAACATACCCAAGGCAAAGTCAAAATAACCAAAGGAAAAACAAAACTTTGCCTGTAAATTTAGTAACTATGGCCGTCTGAATCTTTCCATCAACCACTCATGTTGCTCATGATATAAAGAGGCTCACTGTTTCTGTCATTGTCTATACACTCAACAGTTTTCTGCTGAGTGTATAGACCAACACATCACACATCCAACCCAACACATTAAGGATGCATCCCCTTAAGGGCCACGTACAGCAGGGACATCTCAGTGTCCGATTAGCTGCTAACTGTACTGGGATCATCATACGGACTTCCTCCTCTTGCCAAAAACATTGTTGATGAGTTTGGCCATAGACTTTGAGCCGCTGTAGCGTCGTCTGTCAGCGCGATACTTCAGGTGCTCCATCACCTGCCGGATGAGCTGTGTGAAGAGGTTGGCAATGTCTTGGTAACTCTCGGCTGCTGAGACCTCCTGGAAATTACAGCGGTTTTCCTGCGCCAGACCGCGGCCTTCATCCTCACGCACCTGACGAGCATGGCAGAGGTCCTGCTTGTTGCCAACCAGGCAAACAGGAACATCCATCTCCCTGAAAAACAGACAGCAGGGAGGCGTTAAAACCATCAGTCTGCAAGATGACTGAGGATAGCAATATGAAGAGGATGCAGAGGCAAATGTGTTTTATTTTACAGCTTCTGTGTGCTTTTGCTCACAACATTGCAACAATTTTGGCTATTAAGCAACCTATCCTATCTTTCTGAGCGTAAAGCAGATGTTTTAACTAGCTGTGCTTGATTTACATTCACACAATCCAACAGTTCCACTTGTGATCTACATTTATTCTCAAATACCTGTCATTAGGCTACACAGCTCTTCCCTCCGTGTTATCAGGATGCCTTGGCATGCTGCCAGGCAGCCTGATAGATGTAGATGGCCTGTTTGTTTGTTTGTTTTTTTCACGCTTAAATTTATCAGACACCTGCGCTGGCAATCCCTGTAAATCATGAATCATTTATGAGTTTGAGTTTGTAGGAGGGCAGTCAGGACTCCCAGCATTCCTCAAATTCAAAAGTGCATGTAGATTCATGTCCAGTTACAAAGAACCTAGGGCACAGATACTTTGTTTTGTTGTTTTCCTGGAGCGTTTTCAGCATGTTCAGTTCATATAGTGGGTGTATGTCATTTTCTGGACTTGCCACTTTAATTTAAACCTCTGATTACTCATTCTTTGCATGAGGATTTCATCTGACATTTAAAATTGTAGAATTGAATGTAGGATTTTGCCTTCATTTCAAAACAGGCATTGTTGTAGCACCCAGAATTACTGTTAAATAACAACCAATCCAAACATCCATTATATGTCAGCAGCATCTGTTATTAAGTTTCTGCTGACCCTTTGCAGTTCTCCATGCGTGTCTCCCGAATCTGCCGCAGGATGTTTTTGGCATTGATGAAGGAAGTGCGGTCACTGATGTTGTACACCACCACAAAGCCATCTGCCCAGTCCACTGGCTCTTCAAGTATACACCTGGCCTCCGAACCCTGCCAAGAAGAGCATGTGCTTTTATGTTGGTATCATCCAGTTTGTCCCGAGTCAACGTGCCGACTGGGTTGATTTTCCTATGGACCAGGAAAAAAGAGTTGGAGCCTGTATCCTTTACACTGTGTCACTTTCTATGGATGGTATTATGATAATATAGCTGGATACCATTATTATTTCTATAGATGTGTTCCAATGCTGAAAACACCTTGTATTTTTATTTTTATTTCCCTGTTTTGAGCAAAACTGAGTTGCTTTTATACTTTTTTGACAAATGCACATTGGCATTACTGTCTTCCCATTTATTATACAGATTTGATTTTATTGCTCTTTTTGCTAATCAAGCATCTTACAGTTAGTTTTCATAACTGTAATATTGAAATGCTTTCCTTTTATGGATCCATAGCATATTGGTTTACAAATTTGCTCAGCAAGCAGAGGGTTGCTGGTTCAGTTCCATCCAGAGATACAAATCCCTTTTGGAAAGTGTCAGAAAATGCATCTGGTGTAAAACCCTGCCAAAGGAAACTCACAGAGCTAGCTGCTGTGGCAACCCTCTGTGACAAGTGAGCAGCTGAAAGTCACTAATACCAGAAATCATTTCAAAGTGGTGCCTTAACAATATCAGTAACACCAGTAAATAAATTCAGAGTGAGCCTACAAGCGTTTGTGACCTTGACATAAACAGTGTAAGAAGGGCTTGAGGCCTGGGGACACACCTGAGTGCTATAAAACCCGATTTTAAACCTTTTCTCTTTACTGACTTCTTTTAATGCAGTCCGGGTCAGAAGGGCTGGATTGTGACTCTGTGTTCCTTATGTGACAGCAATATTACAGGGCGTCTAAATGACAAAGACAATGACTGGTTTTTGTTTTGAGCCAGGGTACTCCAATAAAACACTAACGTTGTAGTAAAGTCCCTCTCAGGTCTTTAGTTTTGTTGAATGAGAAGTAAGAGGTTTATATGGCTCCCCTTTTTTTCAAAGGGACATTCATCTCCTCGGGATACTCTCATAAATCCTTATATTCCCACACTTGCTAACTCTAAGTGAACACATGACTACAGCTAAGCCACAGGCAGCTCTCCAGCAGCCTGAAAACAAACCACTGTTTTGATAGATAGATGATAGATAGATGAAGGCAAACCAAATTTTGGTTATGGCCCGACAGTCAAACAAAATTACTCAAGAATGTAAAAATTGACTTTCTTTATGAGTAGTTTAGGTGAATTTTCTTGAAAAGGCATTATTCTCATCAGTGTCAGATTTTCATTTTTTTAGTTTGTTTCCTGTCAGTGGTTTGTCGGTGGTCCTCCAGATGAAATGTTAGAAGAACAACGGGAAAAGTTGGTGGTCCTGCTGCAGCTCTGCTTTTCTAATATAATTCTGTTAATAATAAAAACAAGAGTCTTACCTGAGAGCAGGGGTCAAAAACCTCCAAATTCAGCTGCCTGCCTTCGATCGACAGTCTTTTGTGGTACAAAGAGTCTGTGGAGGAGATACAAAATGCATAAATAACAAAATATTGATGGATGTCAAAATTACACATGGAACATGTCAAAAATGTGGTGTTTGGGACTTTCATCAGTTTTTACTAACACTTTCAAGACACAAATCTATTACCAGGTATTAACATTACCATGAATTTGTCATGAATCTACTTTTACTACAAAGTTTGTTGTTGTTGTTGTTGTTGTTGTTTTACAGGAACTGGACTGCTAGTGTATCAAGCATAATTAAAAAGTTGTGATGGGTCAGACATACATACACAAGTATATATTTTGACTTTATTGTTATTTATTTTAACTTTCCATGTCTATTCACTGCATGACTTATAATCACGGCTAACAGAGCTAGAGTAGCGTCATTGCTGCAGAAGCATCAATGCCTAAAGCGGTAATGAAAACAGTGAAAACCACAATTACATCATTACAATAAAGGATATAGGATAACAGCATCTTTATGATAAACACAAATAGAAAATAGTATAAAAATACAAATCCATTAGATATCCAACTATACTATCAGAAATGTTGAGCTAAAACACTGGAAGCTGTGTCAAAACAGCTACACGACAGGATTGTCTACATTACCTGCCTGCAAAAGGTTTATTACCCAAAAGGACAATATTTTCCTTGTCCATGAATGCACAGGTGAAAATGTTGCATCTCTAAGTGGATGAGAGCAATCTTCTAGACCAAAACCTCATCAAAGTGCCATTATATGAAATCTGGAAACACTTACTGGTATTTGAGGCATATTCACCAATAAAGCGCCTGGTCAGGAAGCGCACAAGGACAGCTGGAGAAAGGAGATGAAATGGAAAACAATAAAATGAATCATGGCATCATTACACACTCATCCCTCTCAGTGAAGAAGGGTGGGGGAGCCTTGTTCACCCCAGCAGGCACAACACCGTGTTAAATGTCTCCAGGATTGGAGCGATGAAACTGAAGCCCCACATAAAAGAATGCTGCACGGCTTTCCTGGAAGGTCTGTGTGCTTATTTGGCAAGCTGAATAGTTAAATCCCCCCCAGCCTGTGCTTTGCCTCTACACTGCAAGCTACACATAAAACTGACTGACTGGGCCAGTTTTGGTCCCACAAGACAATCAATTTAAATTAAAGGCTGAAGTTTCAAGTGCTGAACTCTGGAAGCTTGCTCCTAATAGTGGGCCTCTTGAGGGGTTGTACAGAGGTTAGGACACGGTGACACACAAACATGGATATGGACATTCAACACTTAGGACTTAACACAATAGGAATTGTCCTGGTTCCATTGTCACACAAAGATACATTCAAAGATAAAAGACGCGTTGAAAGCAACAAATAGAGCAGAAGGGAGCAGAAAAACATGTTGAATGAACTCAAGCACCCACATACAGCTTCCATAAGCTACAGCATCTCCAAGGTAACAGCTCTGCTTCACTGCCAAGCACCAAGAATGGCCATGTCCCATTGTTTTAAAAGGTTTGTACAGTACAGTCTGAACCACCCTCTCACAGACAGAAGCAGAATCATAAGTAATGCTTTCTCCTAGACAGCATTTTTAACAAGAGCTTAAAAATCCAATCTGAAGTGTGTCCAAACAGGAGAACTGAAGTATGGTTGCATGAACTGGTTCTCCGAAGAACCCATAAAAAATACTAAATGGTCCAATATGCACACATGAAACTTAAAATAGACATAGAAAAAAACAAGCAAAAAAACAAGATAACAAACTATCACTGCAACACATCAAAGCCAGTGAAAGCCAAGATCAAATTACACTCTAAACAACACCACAGGTGGAGCAGCAGGCTGATTGACTTATTGATAAAACATGTTGTGCTTTCCTCTGTCCAGCCTTGAACTAAGCCCTGTGACTGAGGAGTTTTAAAACAAAGGCAGATAATCTCTGGAGGGAGAAATGGTCTTATTAGTTTAGTTAAACCTCAGTGAATGGAGCCAATAATCCACTGTTGTCTTTGGTTATGTAATGCAAAACCAGAGCTCACACAATGCTGGAAGAAAAGAGAAACATGTTTATTCAAACTTGGAAGTGTTCACAGCTAAAAATAATTACTGTTCATTTCTCAAGGCCACTCTTCCTGGACCACAAATAACAGTTAAAATCGCATGCCAAAAAAAGTGACATGCAATTAATTAATATTAATTTCTGCTATCATTCAACCTAATGTTTTTTTTTTTTTGTTTACCGTGTTTTCGAATGAGCTGTACTTGCACCATAATAGTCACGCACCCAGTCATTTCTGCTGTTTTCATTATGGGTATGACATGACATGAACCCAGCATAAACCTGGTGGTACCCTGGTGATTTGCTTAGCTCTGATTTAAGTTTTAGCTGTAGCCTGTAGAAGTGTCGAGAAACACTAAGAAGAGATTTTTCCACTCTGTGAATTGATTGTGGTTTGGCTCTGTGGGAATATTCATAGTTAATCACACTTTTCAATCACCTTTTCTTGTCAAAGTTTACAAGAAGTCTTCCTTCTCTCTCTCCAACCGGTCGCGGCAGATGGCCGCCCCTCCTTGAGCCTGGTTCTGCCGGAGGTTTCTTCCTGTTAAAAGGGAGTTTTTCCTTCCCGCTGTCACCAAAGTGCTTGCTCATAGGGGGGTCATATGATTGTTGGGTTTTTCTCTGTATGTATTATTGTAGGGTCTACCTTACAATATAAAGTGCCTTGAGGTTACTTTTGTTGTGATTTGGAGCTGCATAGATAAAACTGAATTGAATCAAAAATCAACTCTCATGCTCCATGGCTGGCTAGTTAAAAAGTACGCCTTCAAAAATTTTAAACAAAACTTGTTTTGTGGTCAAAGTGACATGTTTTCAAGTGTTAGCATATTGCAATCAAGAGATCTATCCAGAAATTACACTTTCCTTTGGTAGAAGACAAAATAGACAGATCTCAGATAGTTCACAGTCTCAGCAGTATCATCATGTTTTGACTGGAAACAACAACAAAAAACCACCAAAACTTCTTTTCAGATCGCAGCAGATTGCAGCGCCTCCTTGAGCCTCCTTGAGCCTGTTTTTTGCCGAGTTTTCTTCCTGTTAAAAGGGAGCTTTTCTTTTCTACTGTTGCCAAAATCTTGCTTGTTGAGGTTTTCTTCAGAATACTGTCAGCTCTTTACATTATAAAGTAACTCGACACAACAGTTGTTATGGTTTGGTGCAATATAAAGACACCGGAATTGAACTAAATAGCTGTTAAATCATTATATGATGGAGAGCTTTTGTTGTTTTACACGTCTGCATTACTGTTTAGAGCACATATGTAATAATGTCTCTAAAGTATTTATGCACATAATTCTGTCCAGCGTCTGTTTTGATGAAGACCATGATAAGTTCGCCCAAGCTATGCAGAGCAGGATCGTACTCAGATAGAGCCGTGAGTCACATTCTTTAAAATCTTTAGCTCACCTCAGAAAAGTGTGTTAAGCTACATTGTGTATGTTCTATAATAATTACAAAATCTTTGGCCCTAAATTTAATATAACTGAGACACTGAATGTCTGAGAGGGGAAATTCAAACATGTTAAATCAGCCACAATTTGTCACTTTATCATTTAATTGTTTTTAAATTTAGTTAGCAACAATTTTGATTTAATTATCAGTTTTTCAAGAACAAATGCCAACTCTTCTGATTTACCAGTTGTCTTATGCACTGTACTGTAAACTGAATATTCTTTGAGTTTTTGACTGATAGCTAAGCAAAAACAACACAATGTAGCATATAACCATAAAATTAAGAACTTGATGACATTTGTTGACCGGTTGATTAAAAAATAAAATGATGATAAAACACGCCAAACTGCTACAATAGCAGAGATATGTTTAAATTCAGGTAATAAGTAAAATAAGCAAGTTAAATGAGGTGGTTTGAAGTTAAGGCATCATAACTTCCTTGTCAGCAGACTTGACAGTTTTTACAGTTTTTATTGAGATACAAGTATAAAGAGACACTTTTTCTCCCTTATAGATCACTAAATCACTCTCAAGTACTTACCTGATTTCCCAGCCCCCTGGCTTCCCAGTAGGGCCAGCTTGATGTCGTTCATGCCTGTGTTGTGTCAGGTCCTCAGCTGTATCTCTAGCTGCAGTTCTGTGTTGCGTTTGGTATTTAGGTTAGCCTCAGCTCACTAAACACTCCTTATCGTTGAAGCAGAGTGGAAGTACATGACTGCCCTCCCCTCTCTTTCTCTTCAAAGAGCTGTTTCACATTTTAAAACCAGAGGCAGAGGAGAGTGGGGAAAACAAGCACCCTCCTCTTTGGTCTCTGTCTCTCTGCCAGGAGCTCTTTTGCGCTCTCTCTCTCTCTCTCTCTCTCTCTCACGCACCTCTCATTTTTCTGTTTTCTCTCGCTCTCTCTTTTTTCCCCTCAGTCTGTCTGTTTTCCTTCTTTCATTCCTCTCTTGGACCTATTTCTCCTCTCTGCCTCTGCCCCCTCCTATGCAGAGCTTGCTCAAAGGTCATGACTGACTAAACCTATTGTGCCGGTCCTTCTCTTAACATTTTAACTGTGGACTTGCTTTCATCTATGG